TTGTTTCCCTTCTTGTATTCAAACAGCATTACATACGGAATTCGTGTCTCGTCGTGTGTCATCACTATAAGGTATTAGAGTATACTAAACTTTACACATTATATAGGCTACACTAACGTGACGTTTAGGCGGTTCGTTTTACTATTATACGTGATCTACGCTTTTAAGGGGTGATTAATGAAAGTGTTCCAAAACGCGACATTAATTTCTTGACGACCTAATACATGGGATTTTTCCATCTTGGAAATTCTAAATCCCCGATCTAAACACATCTTTATGATCCGAGTGTACGAGTATTTTGGATCTGAAAGGACTGTTACATACCCTTCCCAAAAATGATCAATCTTCGGTGGAACCACATTGCCAGGTAATGCCAAATATTGTCACAATGTAGTTCTCATGCATGCCGTTCCAGTGTATCTATATCGCCTGTGGTTGTCACAGGACTCGATCTGCGTATTCAATATAACCGTCCTCAAAGCTTTGTACATGAAGATCAAGTCATTTCGTGCCAGATACAGTACACGTATTCATACGATTTAGCATACAAACATTTTATTGAAAGAAATATTAGCACGTTTTATTCTTTGTAGCCTTCAGGTCCTCCTTTCAAGGCTACAAGATGAAGTCCTTGAACCAATGGCTTTTGCAGAAGCATAGCTTTGGCTTATTTAATAACTCGTTCCACGAGTTCCAATCTTAATTCGCTTCGACACAGTAAACCTTAAACACACAAGATTGATAAAATGATTCGAAAAGGGGAAAAAAAAAATATGGTCAACGTTTGGGATAAACGACTGCAGGGGCGGCGCGCGCACAAGAGGATTGAGGGGGGGGGGGCGTCTTAGCCTCTCCAAATAAACCGTTCCTCACCGGAAAATATACGCACAAAATCAAAAATACAGTGTGTGGAATGAGAAAGAAACAGATCAAGAGAGGGAGGGGGGGAATACGAGTCACTAAAAGAGTATATCCACTTAGAAACACGAACCGATTCTTCGTAATTGTGGACACTAGACAGAATAGGCTACCCTAATCTCACTCGCCGCCTATGGACTAGAAATTCACTTAGGATGTTCCTTTTTTTAAATAATTTATCCAGTTTCTTTGAACATACCGCGTTGCAGCCGAATTTGTTATTAATATGACTAACACAAGTAAAAAGTTAACTTAAACGACACACTTTCATTGTTATTTAGACAGTGCTCGAGTCCCCCCCCCACCCCCAAAAAAAGTACCGAAATGCATTACATCATTCAACAACAGTTACAATTAACTAAAAATAACGTAATTCCAGTGTTTTAGTTAAGACAAAAAACAAAAATGTAAAAAAAACAAAGTTAAAGTAGAATGCAAATGTACAAAAACTACGGTTTCTGTTCGGAAGACTCACTACTCAATATCTTAGTCGTAGTAACTCTCGCAACACTGACCAGCTGACCATACTGTCCTTGTCGGTGTGTGCTACAAGGGCGTAAATAACAACCCAATGCAGTTCGAGTGTAACATTCAGAAGTACACATTTCCAGATTGGCTCTTTGCTTCTAGAATTCGCATTCTTCTGGAACAACAGTGACAAAGATTGGCACAATGAGGTCATGCAGAACCATGGTCCTTAAAATACGATACCATGAAAACTAAACCCTATCAAGTACAACATCAACTAGGGGGGGGGGGGAGGTAGAATTTATACCAAAGTACTTTTACCTTGTTTTAGAGGATGGGGGGGGGGGGCATATTTCTATACGTAACAGAAACCGAAAGAGGGCGCGAATGACACGCCAGTCTAATTCTCGCTGACCTAACCAAGTGTTAAAGTGATGAAATGAGCCGATGCCAGATTCATTTTGAAGGATGTTACTAAACATGTAATTACAGCGATGTAACAATTAACTAAATATAAACTTAATTACTTGTTTTATTCAAGTTCTCCGATCTGAATCACAGAAACAAAGAAATTGTTACAGCAGCAAATCTTGTTAATTGTTTGTTGTTGTTTTTTTTTTTGGGAGGGGGGTTTGTTTTTATCAAACTTCTGTTAACTTATTAATGAATTAAACTGCCTTTGCTCAGTTCGTGCTTGAAAAGATGTGTGCGTGTTAATGTACAACCGAGTAAGGAGTTACAACTTTGGTTTAGTATTATAATGTGTAACTACCACTGCACATTAACATTACATTCACTAACGTGAATGTGTAACGCTTATGCGTCATTATAAATCATAGATTGGCGTTTTAAATAGCAGCACACTACAAACTACTGAGGTAGTGCATTATCTTGGGATTATAGACATTTAGTGAAAACTAAAATCAGGCAAGATTCGAACCCAGTACAAGTTTTTACCTTCAAGTTAATGAATTAGAAACTGTTTACATTGTTCACTTGAAAAAAAACAAAACAACAACTATAGTCTTGACCTTTTCTTGTAAACTTCGTAATGATACGCTTTAAAACCAACTATTCAACAATTTTAATTAGTAAAATCAACTGAAACTAAATTTCTTAATCTTGTTTTTATTTTAATCCCCATTTTTGTTTAATCTAAAAATTCGATTAGAAATATGAAGATTGTGTAATTGGCGGAACACAAGATCCTCGAGATAAATAGTTCGGAGGCGAGATTTGGTTACATAAACTTCAGTGTTTGAACATTGGTACCAGTCAACAGGCAGAGGTTTGGCTTCAGTGATAGTTTTTATTGTCTATTTAAACGAAGAATTTTCGTTTATAATATTGTTGCGTCATCGAGATCACGTGTCTATTCTCACGCCCTCTACTTTCTAGAACTATCCTGTACTTTGGCG